GATGTTATGAATTGAATCTTGCAGGATAACTTTTTCTAGGCTGACTCATGATAGCAGAACATGCCTTCTAGAAGGAGGCTGGAAGACATGATAAATCATGTTACATTTGGAAATAACACATAGTTCAGTATAGCTAGAGAGCATGTCTATGAGGAAGCAGCTGAAATGAGGGTGGATATGACACATACCCAGCATACAATGAGTGCTATCTGAACATTGTCGATTGAATGGTGCAAAATGACAGAGGTCACACTATGGAAACTTTGCATTTCATAAAAAGGAGTTTGGTTGGCCAGTGGGCACCATTGGGAGAAATGAAACAAAAGAGTGATATGATCTGATTTAAATATTATGAAGATCACTATGGCAACATTTACCTGGATTGAGGACTCTTCAAAAAAGCATGTAGGAAATACTGAGGATCTAGCGTATTATAGTAGTAATGAGTTTGGAAAAGACTGACATGGTGAATGATGGTAGTGAAGAAAAGAGGAACGTAGGTTGACCTGCAGATGGCACGTCAATTATTTGGGGGGGGGGGGCGGATAACTGGTACTGATAATCAAAATCAGGATTATAGGAAGTAGAACAGACTTTGAAGAAAAGATTAGCCAGTTTTAGAAATTTTGAGTTTGAGATATCTGTGTTGAGAGTTCTGTTTTTTTTAAGATTTTATTTATTTATTTTTAGAGAGAGAGGAAGGGAGGGAGAAGGGGAGGGAGAGAAACATTGATCGGTTGCCTCTCACACACTGCCAACCAAGGGCCCAGCCCACAACCCAGGCATGTGCCCTGACTGAGAATCAAACTACCCGCCTTTGAGTTCTCAGGGCAATGATCAATCCACTGAGCCACACCAGTCAGAGCCATGTTAGGATTTCTAATGGGCACTTAAAAATCCAATGCTAGAGGCCACTGAGTGGCCCAAATTGAGATACAGATCTGGAAATGATTGATATACAGTGAAATTAAGTGGTGTCCAGCAAGGGAATTGTGACAAGTAAGGTGAAAACAGGGTTGAGGACATAACACAGAGAACTAGCCAACTTCCAAAAATGTATAGTAGGAAGCATAGTCAAGAAGAAGACTGGGAAGGCTATTCTGGAATGCAAAAATTATGTCATATGTGGGAAGTGTCAGGAAGAAGAGTGAGATTGATAGTTTTAAAGGGAGGGAAGCATGAAGTATTATAAAAATGAATTTGGCTGTCAATGATTTGGCAACTAGGAAGTTGTTGGTGGTTATAAAAAAGGTCTTTTAGTGGAATGATGGTGCCATAGGCCAGTTTGCAATAGGCAGGCAAGAAGGTAGAAAGGATGAAGTGAGCCAGAGTTATATAACCAGGATGCTAGGAGCAAAAAGAAAAATTACAGAGCACAGAGAGTCCAAGAAGGTTTGGCTTTGTGTTTATTTATTCATCTTTAGGATGAATGGAATTTGAATATATTTATCTGATCATACTCACTAATTTCACAGGCTGCCTCTAGCTATTTTTCATATAAATCACAGTAATGGAGGAACCTCACAAACCCTGAGGTTGCTTGGATTTCTCTCTCTCTCCAGTTGAAACAGTCTCCCACAGATATAATAAATTCACCTGTGTGATTTATTTTCTCAGTCTAATGAATAGTCGCATCCTGAGTGATGCTTTATGATACCAACAATGTACTTTTAGGGGAAATATGCATGATGTACCATTGTCACCCAGAAATTCTGACAGGATTTCGTTAGGAGTGTGAAACCTCACTGGGAATTTAAATGGACATAGCTGGGACTGTTTGCAGACTCACATAACAGAGAATATTGCTGTTATTGATCTACTAATCAATGTGTCTTTTCCCCATGCTGCTAGTTGGGAACTGTACTTTTTCATTAATTTTAAAATTTAAAATTTCACTGCTCCCTCAAAGAAAATCTTAAATAAAACAGCTTAAAAAATAATTTCCCCCTCACTCTTCTCATAAAAAATTCTCATGTAGCTGGTTAACTCACACCTCTCGTTGCAAGCCAGAGACATTTGGGACATTCTATTCCCAATGCTACATGATAGGAAGTATACATCTATTACAGTTCTTAACAAGACTAGGTCTAGAGGAAAAACTATGAGTTTTCCACAGGAATCTCTAATTATGTGTAGCTACTGTTGATATACTATAATGCCTACATATTATATTGCTAAGTAGACATAGCTCTTTACATTAAAAAAAATGTTTCCTTGGGCAGCATGCTCACTAAATGCTCAGAGTTTTGTGCTTCACCCTTTATTTTTCTGACCTTCCCATAACTTTACAGTTTCTTAGCAAATGACAAGAATTGAAGTAGGGAAGCTAGTAATCTGACAGGCTTCTTCCTCTATAGCTCAGTTTTCAGCTATTATACACACTACACATTACTGTGTAATAACTACTGTGTTATAGATACAGAATGATGCTGAATCCAACAGCCTTGAACAAACCCTGGCTCCATTACTTACTAACTGTGTGACATCCAGCAAATTATTAATCTTTCTGTACTTGAGTCTCTTTCCTGATAAAATGGTGTAATGGTGGTGCCTACCTCATAAAGTGCTGTGAGCGTTAAATGACAGAAATGCAGATACACTGTCTGGCGCACGTAAGTACAGTTGAGTTATTATCAATTTAGAGCACACAAAAAAAGATATGCTATTTTACTGACTTTTAGAATTTACTAATATTTTAAATTACTAGAAAATGAGGGGACAGAATTGTGATTTAAAAAAGAAACAGAGGGCTGGTATTCAGAAATGAGCAAAGGTTTTTAAAATTTTTTAAAGCAACTTTAAAAAATATTTTTACTAATTTATTGGGGTTGCATTGGTAGATTAAATAACTCTGAAGTGTACAACTCTAGAACACATCATCTGTATATTGGATTGTGTGCTCACAACCCAGAGTCTAGTCTCCATCATCATTCATCCCCCCTGCTTCCTCCACCTTTCCCCACCCCTTTCCTTTTGATGATCACCAGGCCGATATGTATGTCTGAGTTTTGTTTGTTTGTTTTTTTGCTTAATCTCTTCCCCTGTTTCACCCAGTCCCCACCTACCCCACTGCCCCTGACAGTTGTCAGTGTGTTCTCTGTATCTATGAGTCTGCTTGTTTTGTTCATTTATATTATTCTTTAGATTCCACGTATAAGTGAAATCGTACAGTACTTGTCTTTCTCTGCCTAGCTTATTTAACGTATCATAATACCCTCTAGGCCCCTCCATGCTGTCAAGAAATGAAAGGTTCCCTTCTTCTTTACAGCTAAGTAGTATTCCATTGTGTAAATGTACCACAGCTGTTTTATCCACTCATCTACTGAGGGCCACTTAGGTGGGAGCAAAGGCTTTAAGGCCAAATAAATCCAGTGGTGAACTTTCATTCTGCCACTTGGTGCTGTGTAACTAACCTCAGGTGATTTATTTGATCTCTGAGCCTCAACTTCCTCATGTCTAGAATAGCTATTTTATATATATATTATAAAAGTGAGAGAATATATGTCAAGGACTTAGTACATAAGACATATTTAATAAGTTGAAGGATTTTAGGGTTTTTAGCTTTTAGCTTCTTGCTGTATCTCTTTAGTAAATTCTTAATCATAATGGCAAGTCTGTGTTTGGGGAAGGAAGGAAGGAAGGAAGGAAGGGAGGGAGGGAGGAAGAAAGGAAGGGAGGGAGGGAAGGAGGAAAGGAGGGAGGGAGGGAGGAAAGAAGGGATGGAGGGAGGGAGGGACCAGAGTCTCCATCTAAAGCAAAACTTACCCTTTCCTTTATCAGCTTCCTAAGCTGTTGGAAAAAAAAGAAATCCTGGGTTTTAAGAAAAGAATGTTTGACTTTTTTTCATTACTACATAAAACTGAACCTGGTTTTAAGCAGGGAGGTTGCTTCAGTAATTACTAGGCCACAGGTTAGATTCTCTTAATGATTAGACTGTCTATGTGCAGGGCAAAGCAGAAGTTGCTCACTGACACCTTATGGAAACTGTGCATACTCAAGTAAGATGAAGTCAGAAAGAATGATTATTTTATTACGACAGTAGCTTAAGTACACAGGTATTACTTTTCTTAGATTAAAAAATAAATCTGGAGAAAGGTGCTGCTGGTATGAATGAATGATTCAATGATTTCAGCCCTGTCTCTGTGAATTTTTCAGCCTCTCCTTTGTAGATGTTGCCTAGTGGTCAAAGGGTGACTCCTAGATGGACAGGTAGCATATCCAAATTCAAGATAGGAAAAAGGAGTGATTGACAATTACAGGTGTGTCTTTCTGTTTCATCCAAAAAAACTCATGTCTTCCTAGATGCTCCAGAAAGCTTCTTGGAAAGTGGGAGAAGTATTTCATTGTCCAGCCCCTAACATGGAGATGACAAGAGAAAATAGCAGTAAACAATGTTCCACTTACCATTATCAAGAAACTGCTTGTTCCAAAGACTATAAACTAAACCTAAATGTACTTGTTACCTGCCTCAATTTTTAGTACCCCCAGAGAACACCATTTTCTAATTCTGCTTTATATGCAATCAAATATTAGCACTAGATCATTCAACATTTTTTTCTTAAAAGAAATATATGAATTCCACTAGTGCTAGATTTGATACCAGGTATAGATTAGTTTGGTTTGTTATTGTATTATTGTTTCTACTTGAGTGAAGAGTATACTCTTTGGTAGCAAGTGTTTATTGCTTGAAACTTGATGGTTTTGCTTTACTGAATACATACATAAACTATTTTACAGATAAGAAAGTAAAGCATATGTTCTTATTATCAAATGCTTAACCTATGGTTTTTAAATAATTCCCCACACATCCTGGGGTCTTTCATAATTTGAACATGCAACACTTATTTTTCTTGAATTTGATTCTGTAATAACGTGAGGTACCAAATGTTAAATGCTGGCTACCATTCCTGTCTTTGGTTTTCCTTTACATTGAGTCTTAAAAGGAAGCAACAAAGTGGGAAGACATACATTTCTCAAAATCACTGTGATTTTTTATTCAGGCATTTTTGGACAGAAACTGGAAGATACTGTCCGTTATGAGAAGAGATATGGGAACCGTCTGGCTCCAATGTTGGTGGAACAGTGTGTGGACTTTATCCGACAAAGGGGGCTGAAAGAAGAGGGTCTCTTCCGACTACCAGGCCAAGCTAACCTTGTTAAGGAGCTCCAGGATGCCTTTGACTGTGGAGAGAAGCCATCATTTGACAGGTAGATTTTAAGATTTTTACTAACCATTCTTCTCTGAGAAATTTGTTCTGAACAGAAAAGATACAGTGAGCTGAGATGTCGAAATTGATGTTTTAACAATTTAGATGATGAATTAAATGGTCACACAGATATGGATTGTTTTTATTAAGTTACAGAGTCAAAGATTTTATGCTTTAAATGTCTTTTCTATGGTCCCCACCCCCTGCCTTGAAACGTTATTATTGATTATTTTTCCTTGGTTCTAAATTAAAACAGTATTTAGCATTGAAAAAATGAACTTTTAGGGTTTTATTTTTTGCTTTTTTTAGTGTTGTGCAATTACAGTTGTCCCCATTTCCCCCCCTTGCTCTCCCCTACCTACCTTTACCTCCCCCATTCAATCCTCCCCTCTACATTCTCTTTGTCCATGGGCCCTTTATACATGTTCCTTGATGACACTTCCCCAAATAGAGGTCTTCTCTTGTTTGATTTTTTAAAGTTCTTTCAGCTAAGAAATATTTTTAAATATTGATAAGATTAGATATTAACAATATTATTAAAAATAACTATAATAATAATAATAAAGCATTATATTTTAAATATATACCTCCACCATAATCTAGAATAAGTTTACAAAGAAACAGGAGGGATAGCATGGTGAAATTCAGGAAATAATAGAAATTCCAGAGAAGAAAGTATACAGTAAGTTAAACACTGTTAATATTTTGAGAATTAACTCCTTCTCTTCACTTTTTTTAATGTAAGAGAAAAAATAATTTTTATCCTAGTATTATTAATTTAACATAGTGTAGCAGAGATTTTTCCATATTAATAGTTTAAAAATATCCTTTTTTCTGATATATTTTAACTTAGTTTATGCTGTGGTAGCGACAGTAAGCATAATTATTAATATCTAAAACTTCACAACCATTTCAATACTGTTGAATAATTTTTGTACTTTTTCACTATTATAATTAACATAGAGGGTATATGTTCACATAAATATTTTTCATTTTCAGATTATTTCTTTAGAAAAGTTTCTCACTATTGGACTTTGTAGATTAGAATAGTCTTGGTACTATTCTAATGAAAATTGAAAATTACCTACTATGAATTATTTCTCTTTGAAAGTATAGAATTAGGACAGATGTACAGAACAGTTAGATGAGAAGACACTTGAATATATGATATAAGATAAAGGGCCCTCACTAATAGTCCAAGCAATGGACAATAAATCATTGAAAGCCCTTTAACCAGCACATTAACAAAGCTCCAAGCAAAGGCACAATGCTCCGTGCTGGCAAGGCACACTGAGATAGGTGCCCTGCCAGTGAGAGTGCAAACTATTAGTCTTTGTAAAGAAATTTGGTGACATATTTTAAGACCTTTTAAGCAGGAAATTCTAGCCCTAGAAAAAAGTTAGATATGTGGGGAAGAAATGAAGAGTTAAGTAGCTTATTATAAATTTTATAATAATGGAGGTGAAGAAATGAATTTAAAACTAAGGTCAGAGTGCCAGGTAGGTACTGGAAATACCAAAGGGAACATTTTGTAAAGTATATGATTGTGTAAGCACTACATCATACACCTGAAACTAACACAAAATACTATAGAATGTAAATAATAATTGAATAAATATTTAAAAAATAATAATGAAACTAGGATCAGAGAACAAATTTCAAAAGTGCAGATAACACTTTTTTCAAAGAAGGCACATATCTTATTCTATACTTTGAAAAAGAAAAGCACATCAGTAGTTACATAATTCTGCCTGTCCACAAGATATGGACAATAGTTTATCTAGGAGAAATTTAATTTTTTGTTCTCAAAGCTAGAGAGAAATTTGTTACGGGAATCCTTATAATAAAATATGTATAATAGGATATGTGTTCTCAACAATGAATTTCATGTGACATTGATAAATTTTAACGGCCTTTAATATTTATATATGACCTAAATACATGCAGATGCTATTATAGCAAAGTATATTTATTAAAATTATTTTGTTATAGACATTCATGATTTGGTTGTTATACTAGATCTTTGCTAATACGGGAGACTAAAAGGATATTTTACATATGTTAGGATACCTGTAAGAAGACGTATGTCCTGAAAACAATTACATTTAAATCAAGCTCTTTATAACTACAGATTCAAAGTGAAATATGGTACAATCTTTATACAAAATGCCATCTGAATTATGAAAACATATGTATTTATTTTTATATGAAATACATTACTGCATAAACAGACTGAAGAAATTATGAGAAGATAAACATTGATTTTGTGGTAGAATGAGTGACTTCCCCTTTATAACTGTAATTTTGATAAGCATTTATTTTATAATCAGAAATTTAATGAGGAAAAAACTTTTTAATTACTTGGTAATTTCTCACTGCATAAAAATTTCCTTATCTTTTAATTTCCAAAGTATCATTATAGATACTACCTGTTACTAGGAAGGTTATAGAAGAAATTTGCAGAGAGTATTTCAGTGTCAGACACAATATGGTCATGTTGTCAGCATACTTTGAGGAGGGGAGTGTCACTCATTATTTGAAGTCTCTGTACTTGCATAGCCAATCACCTCAAAACTTTGTTGTAAACAATAACCCATTATTTATTCATGATTCTGCAATGTGGGTAAGACTTGACAAGGATGTGCTCATTTCACCACATGGTGTGTATTGATGCAGATTGATTACTTCTGAAAAACCCAAGATGGCTTCCCATATGCCTGGAGGCTTGTTTGGGATGCTAAAGTCGCTAGAGGTTGCTTGGGCCTCTCTCTGGCTTTCCTCTCCCTGCTATTCCTCTCCTCCTCTCCCCCTAACCCTTCTCCTCTCCCCTTACTCTTTCTTCCTTTTCCCCTCCCCCTCCTCTTCTTCTCCCTCCTCCTCTTCTCTTCTGTTCATGACACCATTTCTCTAACAGATTAATCAGACCTATTGACATGACGGCTCAGGGGTCCAAGAGAGTGAAAATGGAAGTTTGTAAGCCTCAGAAGGGTTAGGCCCAGATGACAGTGTCATGTGTGGTACATTCTTTCCATCAAAGGAAGTCAAAAGCCAGGGCCAGCCTAGATTTGAGAGAAAGGGAAATAAACTCCACCAATTGATGGAAAGAGCAGCAAGCACACACAGGGAAGGAAGGATTTGTACAGAGCTATTTTTGGAGAAAATCTCTATTGTTTTAAAATCTAAAAATCAAGAATCAAGTGGAAAAAATCCCCTATGTTGTTCATCTTTTTCAAGACTGTTTTGGCTCTTCTAAGTCAATTATGTATTCATTAAAAAAATTCATATAAGCCTGTTAATTTTTACCAAAAAAGAGCCTAATAGGATTTTGATAGAAACTTAAATGAGTCCAGAAATCAATTGGGAGAAAACTGACACTTAAAAATACAAAATCTTCTAATCCATGAATGTTGCTGATATCTCAGTTTCATTAGGACATTTGTATTTCAGCAATATTTTGTAATTTTCAATGTAAACTGTCACTCCATTTTATTAAATTTATCTTTAAGTATTTAACATTTATAGATATTCCAGTAAATAGTATTTTCATATTCAGTTCTCTGTTTGCTCACTGCGGGGTTATATAAGTGCAATTGATTTTTTATATATAGATAGTTTGTTTTAGAACTGCATACAAACTGCAATTTAGAAATGAATACAAACTGCAAATTCATTTACTAAATGCTGATGGGGTTTTTTGTAGATCCTTTAGGATTTTCTATGTAAATGATATTGTTGACCATACATAATGAGTTTATTTCTTCCTTTTCAATATATAACACTGATATTTATTTTTCTTGCCTGTTTGTAATCACAAAAAAGTCTTTTTACAATGCTTGTGAGTGGACATACTTATCTTTATGTAGAAGCAAGTTTTCAGTCTTTTGCTATTGGGTATGATAGTAGTTATAGGTTTTTTGTAAATAACCTTTAACAGGTTTGAAAATGTCCCTGTACTTATGGTTTTCTCACAATTTTAATAATGAAGGAGAATTAAATTTTATTAAAACCACTTTTTCTAAATTTATTGCAGAAATGACCTAGTTTTCTCTTTCATTATTTTAATATATTGAGTTACATTAATTGATTTTCAAAAGTTAAAGCAACTTTATATTCCTAGGATAAACCATATTTGGTTATGATGTATAACCCTTTTTATATATTATCGTATTCACCTTGCAAACAACATTGAGTTAGCCAAAAATTCCATTTAATTTTTTAACCGATTACTTTATTGATTTGGATATTGTGAGTATGTTGGCTATCTGCCACATGGTCTAATGCAGACTGTCCGCAATTAATGTCTTGATTTGATCGCTGTCAACTTCAACTGGTCTACCTGACCATGAAGTATTGTCTAGCAGGATATCTCCAGCATGAAACTGCGCAAACTACTTTGGACACATTCAATCAGTCACAGCACCTTGATGCACTGCAAAAATCTTGTTTTGCCTTTCATGTGTGTTTTTACCTTTCTTGAAATAATAAAACATAATATGCTGAAAACATTTTGTATTTTCTTCTATCTTCAATATTATAATGGCTAAACAAAAATTCACCAATTTTGTAAGTATTTTTTGAATGCACACTGATATGACAGCTGTCACAATACAAACTAACAAAATTGTTTCTGAATGAAGTTAAAGACAGCTAAGCGCTACTAAAACCATCTTATGGAAAACACCAAATGAAATTTTTGGTCAACCCAATATGTTAAGGATTTTTGGACCTATATTGACCAAACATTTTTTGTAATGTCTTTGACTAATTTTGTTATCAGAGAAATTCTGGCCTCAGAATTAGTTGGAAACTGTCCCCTCCACCTGTTTTCTGAAAAGTGTATATATGTAATTATTTGCTCCATATACCTTTAGTAAAATTCATTAATGACATCATCTACTCTGATGTTATTTCTGTGGGAAAGTTTTTAGATAAATAATTTTTCTTGGGCCAATTTGGTAATTTGTATCTTTCATGAAATGTGTCCATTTTCCTATAACTTTT